CGCCGCCCTCGCCGGGCCGCCCCTCCTCACCGGCGGGCTCCGGGGACGTCAGGGCCGCAGCGCAGCGAGGACCGGGAGCAGAAGCGCCGCGGGCACCGCGCCGACGGAGACGGCCGCGCTTTTGGGACTCCTTTGGCGGGTGGCGGAGATCTCATTCCTGGAGCGAAGACGGGGACAATCAGGCAGCTGCGGGCCAGGCCGGCCTCCTGCCCGCCCTGGGACTCGGGTGTACCGGGGGCAGCGTGGATGTTCCGGCGGGGGTCCCGGGTCCCGGGAAGGGGCGGGGCGAGGGGCGGGGCTGACCTGAGCTGCTGCACCGTCTGCCGAGTCTCCTGCAGCTTCTGCTTCAAATCCGCGATCTCATCTGGGGACACAGAGCGCCGTCGCCCTACCCGACACGGCCACGCCCCCGGGCGGCCGGCAGCTTCCGGACCCCACCAGCGCCGCGGCGCGCCCCTGCGGGTGCCCTCCTCACCCTTCTGGGCCTGCACTTGCTCGCGTTGCTTCTGCTCCTGAGTTTTCGCCTCGCTCAGGGACGCATTCAGGTTTTCCTGGGACAGAGCCGAGGATCAAAAGCAGATTCTGAGCCGGCCGTGGTGGCGCACGCCTGTCATCCCAGCACTCTGTAGGCTGAGGCAGGGGGATCGCCACGAGTTCGAGGCCAGCCTGGGCTCCACAGTGAGTTTAAGGCCAGCTTGAACTGCATAGCTAGACCTTGTCTGAAAACAAACAAAGAACCAAAAACCCAAAAACCCCTAGCGGTTCTAGCCCTGGTGGGTGGGTGTTGACTGCTGTCCTGGGCCCGGTGCCGCGCTGTCCTCAGAAGCGCTTCAAGCCAAGCCTCTTCTTCTCCTCCAACCCTCTCTGCGCCTCACTTTCCAACCCACAGCTTGCCCCCGCCAGGCTCCAGTAGGCCTGTGCCCATTGAAATGGGGTTTTGAGGGCTGGGGATTTAGCTCAGCGACAAAGCGCCTGCCTGGCAAGCGCAAGGTCGTGAGTTCGGTTCCTGGTACCGGAGAAAAACCAAAAAAAAAAAAAAAAAAAAAAGAAATGGGGTTTTGAGGCCCCCCACATGGGCCTCTGCAGGGTCCCCCTCCCCAAACCCTCGTAGAAATTTCCAGACCCTCTGTGTGATTCTCAGAGTTAGGCGCTTGCCGAGCCGAGATATCTGGGTGCAGCTGGACGTCCACGGGGGTTTCCAGCTCCCCCACACCAGTGCCCTGAAGGGATTCAGAGCTCCCTCCAAGTCCTAGTGGGCATACTGAGGCCCCGACGGGGGTGCTGCTTTGAGTGTCAAGACTTCACCCACATCAGAGCCCTGGAGAGCATTTAGATGTCCCCAAACCCGGGCAGGTAAACGAGGCCATTGTGATGTAGGGGCCCAGGGACAGTTTCTAGGCCACCCCATCTTCCCCCAGGTCCTGTGGAGGTTTCTAGGCCCCCCGCCCCCCGCCCCCCCCAAACACTGAGCTCTCTGCAGGGGTTCGCTGGCTCACCACGGTGCTTTTGCAGGTGGCGTAGGCGTCCTGCAGGGCCTCCTGGGCTCGGGTCAGCTGGTCCCGCAGGTGCTGGGTGACATTGTGGAACCTTTCCTCTGCTTGGAGACCAAGGTGGCATGCTTCGCTGTTGGCCTTCACGGCAAAGTAGCCCAGGGGCACGGCCATGGCCAGCATCCCCAACAGGAACCCTGCCAGGGGCCGCAGCCCGACGCCGCGGCGGCCCTTGTCCACACCCACCTCGTCCATGGGCACCCTCGAGTAGGGGCACAGAGAGGAAGGCATAAGGGCGGCGGGACGGGGCAGAGGGTTCCGCCAAGGCTCACGCCGCGAATGCCGCACCTGTATTAGCATGGGGGACCTCTGGGCCAATCGTGGGCCACCTCATTAGCATACGGGACTTCCCGGCCAATGGAAGTTCCACAGCTGCAGCCCGCCCCCGCAGCCGGGCGAGGTTAGGCTTTCAGTTTCGGGTTCCTAGAGGAAAGTTCGCCCTGCATTCCCGCTGTCCCGCGTCTGCGGAGAGGCTGGGGCCGCCCGGACCCCGTCTGCGTCCTGACCCCTCCTGGGGCTCGGTTCATTTCTGCTCACAAGGGAGAGGTGGGGCCGCATCGCTGGGCCAGCGCCTTGCCCGGAAGCAGGCTGCGAAGTTGAGGGTGGACGGGGCCGGGACCTGCACTCTGTTGCCAGGGGCCTCCGTGGTGACTGAGCACCTCCGCCCCCACCTAGCGACCTGGAGGCAGGCAGGGCGTAAGAGGGCAGCACGGGAAGCTGGACCCCCTGAGGCTCCCCGGGCCTGCTCTGGCCCCGCGGGATGTGGTTCCCGCCCGCAAGCTCCCGAGCCCGCCTGGCAGCAGTGACAGGTTCGGGTGTCCCGCAGTAGCTGCTCAGCGGATGTGCAGGCCGCCTGCTGGGGCAGCAGGGTGGACCAGGATGGACGGGGGAGGCACAGGTGGGCGGGGGTGTCAGGGACCCGTGTCCTTCTGCCCGGCCAGGGCAGCGGGGTGTCCTGCGGGAAGTGAGCCTGCTCGCCGCCACTGCCAGCTGTGACAGCCCAAGGGGGCTGTGGTGGCGTCTTCAGCGATGGCCTGCCGCAGCCCAGAGCATCCCAGAGGTGGTTTCTGGTCTTTGTGACCGGCTGGGCGATGCCAGGCCGGGCCTGGCGCTGGGGCAAGGCCTGTGTTAGGCCCTGTGTGCAGAAGCCCGGGCTGTGGGCCCCCTTCCCTGGAGAGGTGCTGCCACCCTGGAGGGGACCGCAGGGACTTTTTTGTCTTTGTGAGACAGGGTCTCACTATGCAGTTCAGGCAGGCCTTGGATTCACTCTGTAGCCCAGACTGGCCTCAAATTCACTGAAATCCTCCTGCCTCAGCCTCCTGAGTGCTGGGATGACGGGCCTGAGGCCCTACACTGACAGACTTACTGGACAGCGTAGAAATGCACATACTCAGAGGATGGAGTGCGCCTCAGGAAAGGGCACAGCGTCGTTGGGGTCGGGGTGCTGTCTGTGCTCAGGGCCGTCCTCACTGGCCTACCCCGCCAGGCTGCCCCTGTGTGGCCCAGCGAGGGTGCACAGGCTTGCCGTCCACTTCCCTTGCTGCTTCCTGAGGGCCAGAGGCCTAGAGGAGGGAGGGCCACGTCCAGGCAGAAAGCCCGACCCGGACCCTGGTTCATAGGCTTGTGTGTCAGACGTAAAAGGTAAAAATGTTAATTAATTACCCTGCATTTAGGGCTGGGGATATAGCTCAGTGGCATAAGCACCTCCCTGGCAAACGCAAGGTCCAGGGTTTGATTCCTGGTATCAAAAAAAATAATACGAATACATTAATTTTGGGGCTGGGGATTTAGCTCAGCAGCACAGTGCCTACCTGGCAAGCGCGAGGTCGTGAGTTCGATTCCCGGTACCGGAAAACAAAGAAAAAAAATTACCCCGCATTTCACTAACCGCTCTAATAAGCCGTGTTCTCGGGTGCGCCGGGCAGCTCTCGGACCGGGGCCCAGGGCGTGCGGGCTGTAGAAGACTCATACAAGAGACGGGTTAGAGACAGCCGCTAAGCGAGCTTTCCGGAGCTACGCAGAGGAACTCGGAGGGAGGCGGGCGCAGAGGGGAGGCAGAGCGTGAACCCGGATCCCGGGCCATGGCGGGGGTGGGACGGACGGGACTCCTGAGCTGGCTCCAGGACCGCAAGCCCAGCCCTGCTCCGCGGGCGCACCTGTTGGTCCTGCAGCACCGAGGCAAGGGTGGACTGAAGCCTCACTTCCGCGGTCGCTGGAGTCTGATTTTTTTTTTTCCTTTGGTCTGAACATGTGAATTCATTTCTTACATCAGACTCATAGGATTTTTTTTTTTTTTGACCGAGTTTGCTAAAAGATTTGAGTAATTCCTGAGTCCTGAAGGTGCAGTTTTTTTTAAAAGCACAATTTCGAGCCAGCTGTGGTGGTGCACACCTGTAATCCTAGCAGTCAAGGAGGCTGAGGCAGGAGGATCACAGATTCGAGTGTGGCTTGCGCAATTTAGTGACATAATGAGACCCTGTCTCAAAATTAAACAAAAAACAGGAAGTGCTCGGGAGGCAGCACAGTACTAAGGTTCTGGTTCCGTCCCAGGTACTGCAAGAAAAAAGGCACAATTTTAAAATTGTGCTTTTCCTGATTTTCTCTCTACCTCTTTATCTTTTTGTACCCCTCCTCACTATGAAATTTCCCTGGAATAAATGACAGAGATTAAAAGGGAGAAAAGGGATGCAAGTTCGCTGCACGTGCAGAGGCAGCCACTCTGTGATCACTCACCCCGGGAGTACTCTGGAGCTCTCCTACCCCGCTTCCCTTGCTCTCCTGTCCTCTTTCTTTCCGGTACCAGGAGAGGAACCCAGTACCCAGTACCCTCACAATGAGCTCATTCCCAGCCCTGTCTTCATTTTTTAAATTTTGAGACGGTTTTGCTTAGTTGTCCAGGCTGGACTTGAACTTGGGCTTCTTCTCCTGCCTCGGCCTCCTAGAATGGTGGGATACAGCCGTGTGCTGTCCCGGCGGCTCACACAGCCCTCTCACGCTCTGTACAGGGGTGAGGGAACTGGACGGCTCACGGGGAGTGACTGGGTCACAGTGCCCCCCCGCCACGCCACTGCAAGCCGGTGCAGGTCCTGACTGAACAGCCGGTACAGGCCCTGGGTCCTGTTATTATCGACAGCTAAGTCAGGCAGAATTATCATAGGCAGGGCCGGGGAGATAGCTCAGTGGCACAAGCACCTGCCTGGCAGGCACAAGGTCCTGAGTTCGATTCCTAGTACCAAAGAAAGAAAGAAAGAAAATACAGGCAGTCAGACAGGCTGGGTCCTGGAGGAGCCAGTGCAGAGGGAGAGAACACGGCACAGCTATGGCCGGAGGCGCATCTGTTGGAGGCCGGGCCTCAAGATAAACTCGGAAGGACCAGGCCTCGCGCCTCCCGCGGGACAAGTGCTAACGCCGCTCCAGGGCAGTCGGGTAGGCACGGTGCCCCAGGCGGGTGGCCGGGCCCTGCTGACCCATCCCTTCCGAAAGAGGGCCTGTTGTCCCCAGTGACGGGCTCCGTGACCCGCTCCCCCCATCCGCGTGGCCGGAGCGGTGCGCCTGGAATCTTATCGCTCAATCACGGCCCGGTGCAGGTCGAACCCGCCTGGAGACCGCGCCACGTGAAACTGTGCTGGGCGTGGGCTCGTGGGCGCTGCCGGGGCCCCTGCGCTCGGGCGCGGCCCTGTCCATGCATGCTTCCCGCCCTCAGCCCGCGCCGCTCCTCAGGGTTCATCCTTCCACTCTGACCATGGAGTGTGGCCTGCAGACCCCGCCCGCTGGGAGCTGGGGGTCTCCCTGCGGCGTTCGGAGGCCAGTGTCCTCCCCAGGGAAGCACAGGCACCTACCCTGTCCCACCTCGTGCTGTGGGGACCTGGACCCACTCTCCTGCCCATCCAGTGTGAATGCATGCACGGAGCAGACGAAGTCATGCTAAGCGCTGAGGTTAAAGGCAGAACGAAAAGCCTTTGGAGGAGGGCAAGGGCCCTCAGTCCTCATGGAATTAAAGGAGATAAGCGGGGCGTGACAGCACGCACCTGGGATCCCGGACGCTGGGAGGCTGAGGCAGGAGACTGCATTTCTAGCCCAGCCTGGTCCTGTGTCCTTCCTAATTCAGCAACTTAGTGAGACCCTGTGTCAAAATAAAACAAAAAAAGCCCTGGGAATGTGGCTCAAGCTGAGGGCCCTGGGTTTGCAACCCCACTACTGAAAAATAGTCTTTTGTGCAAGCTCAGGGGCCACGGGGCTGGCGACACAGCGTGTGCCCACAACCCCACGCCCGCCCTTCTGGACGGGAGCCCCAGGGCCAGGGCGGCAGGAGCTCCTGGGCCGGCGGCTCCTGCAGGGCTCTACTTCCGACGGCGGGGGCAGAGCCGGGGCCCAGCCCAGCTCTTGTCACCGGCGGTGCTGGCAGTCAGAGCCGCGCGCCAGCGAGGGCTGGCCGAAGCCTCGCCAAGCCGGTCGGGCCGCCACTCACACCGAGGGCGGCAGCGCACGCTGTGAGGTCCGCTCGTCCTGTGACAGCCTGCTGCGGGCTCCCGGCCGCGTCCTCCCTGCCCCTGGGGCTGCCTCCCGGGCCTGGGCCAGCGGCCAGCTGAGGCTGGGCTGAAGGGACCACGGCGGGCCCAGGCGGCAGCCGCACCGGCAGAGGACGCAGGCGCCTGGTGGCTGGGCGGGTGGGAAGGTAGAGGTGTGGCCGGGGACACAACGGGGGCACCATGCACAGCACTGCACCCCGCAATGCCAGGCCCGCCCCTGCCTGCGCGACCCCCCGAGCTTGCGCCCTGAGCACCGGAGGCTCCGGTGTGACAGTGATATAGGAAAATACAAACTCCCACCCTGAATGTCTGGGACCAGTTCGTGCTCTCTAAAATCGAAGAATGAATTTTAGGAACAACGGAGGTTAAGAGCAGAATATATTTATTGAAGGAAAGAAAGCTTCTGTCCCAGAGGGACAGAGGGACACCCGAGTGGGTTGCCAAGGACCCTGCCCCTCCCAGGGACTTTATAGAGCAAAACCCTGAGGCGAGGCGGGTCCAAGGTAGGGGGAAATGGGAATTACAAGGTGGGCATGAGGTGGGACAAAACTATGGTCAGCCAGTGAGATTACAAGTATAGTAGTTCAGGTAAAATTGAGTAAACTGGATCAAATGGGGAAGCCAGTCACGTAGCAAGCGGGCGTGAGTACAGAACAGGGCCTCTCCTGTAGGGGGTTGGGCTAGTGATTCCTCACTTTTTTTGTTTTGTTTTGCTTTGTTTTGTTTTTCTTCCGGTATCGGGAATCGAACTCACAACCTTGCGCTTGCCAGGCAGGTGCTGTGCCA